TGATGGCATGAGATGGTGCGGAGAGCGTGCTCTTCCCTCTTCCCCATGAAGAAGTTCTGCCTTCTCTGGCCTTGTTTGCCAACATGCTGTGTTGTGATTGGCAGCTGGAACACACATCTTCTAAGCCCTGAGGCTGGCTCTGTGTTAAAAAAATAAATTAAAAAAAAAAATAAATATATCCTACTCTTAACCTCTACTGTTCCTTAGAATTTATTCTTAAACTCTGGGGAACACAAACTAGGCTTATTGAGCATCTAACAGGTTGGGAGTCATAGAATTTCCCTTACATCACTTGGAGATTCCCCTTGTCTCCACAAAACCAAATCGCCAGAGGTGGTGGCACATGTCTGCAGTCCCAGCACTCACAAGGCTGAGGTTGGAGAATCGTGGAGGGTTCAAGGCCAGCCTAGGCTACACTCAAGTTCAAGGCCCGGTTGAAATATATATATAGGGAGATACTGTCTCAAAAGCAAAACAAGGGGCTGGGGAGATGGCTCAGTGGAATAAGCGCTTGTCTGTCAAGCAGAGGGGCCTGAGTTCAATCCCCAGTTCTGCCAAAAAAAAAAAAAAAAAGCAAAACAAAGGCAGGGTAGGTGAGCCATAAATGCAGAGGCAGAAAGGTATCCTTTTTACTTCCTATTATTAGTTAAAACTTAGGGCAAGGTACAGTTTTGAACTGAGTTCCCCCAAAATCCAGATCAAACCAAAACCATCACTTACGAAGTACTACCTAATCACACCAATAATCTGAGGAAGCAGAGATGCCAAACCAGGTCAAGCTTTCCTGAAACCAGGAGATTCTATTCATCCTTAGCGAACACAATAATGGAATCATTTCTGTTTTAAACCTTACAGAAACTAAGGTGATGCTAACCAATCCGTTTTTTCCTATTCTGTTTCCTAACTTTCCCATTACAAACCCCAGTGCTTCTGGGAGCGCTAGCCATTTTGTAGAAGGCAGGCTGTCCCATTCACGAACCGTTCATAGCCACCGACTGGACGAGAACCTTTGCCGCAATTAGTTTTCAATGCTCCCTAACAACTGGTCTTCTCTCTCCAGAGTAACAAAGATTAACTACATATTCTTAGAAAAGCCTCTTGTCAGCAACAGACTATTTTTTCCTTGAAAAATAAAAACAAAAACCCAACCTAACCAGGAAAATGTCAGAATTGAGGGGAAGGGGGCTGCCCCTTAGCTCAGTTGTTTGGGGCCGGGAAGATGGCTCAGTGGAATAAGCGCTTCCCTGGCAAGCGCAAGGGCCTGAGTTCAATTCCCAGTTCTACACACACACACACAAAAAAAAAGAGCTGAGGGGAAACAAGTTCTTTCTGTTCAGGTAACATAACCATGGAAGAGATGAGCCAATGGAAACATCTGCTTTTGCATACACCCCCGGGACCACAAAATGCCAGTGCTGCCACCTACCCAAAGCATAAATTATCACCATTCTCCTGTAATTATAAACAAAAGCAAACCAGGTCTGGACAGGAACTCAGACCTGGGAAAGGCAAAACAGGAAGGTACAAACGAGACTTCACTATTGTTCCCTGGAGCGGGTGCGGGGAACACAAGGCCATTCTTCACTATTAGACTTCACAGCACTACCTGGGCCTTGCATAACTCCTCTCCTGGGGTCAGAATGCCAAGGCTGACATTACCTTCAGAGCACCACAAAGCTCCACGGTGTCTGCGTCATCAACCACAGTAATTCGAAAATTGGGAGTCTGCAGAAGTTCTTTGAAGAGAAGGCCATTCTCCATGACTTTGCTGCCTATCAAAAGGTTAGGAAACAAAGAAATTAGTAACAGTCTCTAATTTTACCTCTAACAGAGATAAACTAGTAGTAACCTTTCTTTTACTACAAAATACAGTCATTGCAAAAAATTTAGAACACAGGAGCAGAAACAGAAAATAAAGCTCACCCCTAGTTCTACCAGAGGATTGTTTATCATCTGACATATATATATTTAATTTATTGAACGACTATAGTGGTGGCACAGGCTGCAATGCCAGCATTCTGGGAGGCTGAGGTAGGAAAATCACACATTCAAGCCCAGCATGGGCAACTCAGCGACCTAGTTATTACCTTATTCAGCTGAGTTCTCCTTCTCCAAGCACTGGAAGGCAGTCCACTTGAGCAACCTGTCCTCTTCCTTTTCAACAGCCCACCACGTGGCTAGCAATCCTGCACCATGCTGTTTTCTCCTATGCTGGGGAACCCAGCCCAGCCCCACAGGGCATCCCCCACTGAATGCTTCCTGAGGCATGGGGGGAGGGAAGCGTGCTGAGTCCATCACCGCTGCCTGCTGTGGCTACACAGGGAAGGGACAAGCTCCTCTCTGGTTGCTAACAAGTGTCATCAGAGAGGTGCGCTTGGTCTGACAAGCTCACATTTTCTCAGACACACATTTTAAGAGTTATTATTTCACTGGGGACATAGCTCAGCAGCACAGTGCCTGCCTGGCATGCTCAAGGTTGTGAGTTTGATTTCCGGTTTAAAAAAAAAAGTATTCTTATTTTGGTAGATTTTGGTTTTATGGGTTTTTGTTGGTTTGCTTTTGAGCCAGGGTCTTGCGGTGTAGCCCAGGCGGGCCCTGAGCTCAGGGTTACTCTCCTGCCTCAGCCTCCTCCGGAGTGCTGGGATTACACGCATGCAACATCACAAGAATTGTTATGCTAAATCATGGATTAGAAAGCACTAACTGTACTATTACTAGCAGTCACAGACAATGGGGTGGCAGGCAGGAACCCAGGCCACCTATGTATAGGTAGTAGCCAAGAGCCACGTGGAAGGGCTGCCTCCAACTCAACCTGAACCAGAACAGGAAAATCCCCACTGCTGTGCCAACCTGTAGTGATCTGCCTATGTAACTGAACTTCTGAAGCCTCATTTCAGTCTCTGTTTTGTATTTGTTTGCAGAGACGCTCTACAAGGAGTTCATATATCTCAGATGTCTTACTTTTCTTGCTGCTGAGACAAAATACCCACCACCCAAAGTTAAGGGAGGCAAGGTTTATTTAGCTCCCAGTCTATAGAAGTTTCAGTCCCTAACTGGCCAGTTGCAAGGCAGGGTGGATGGCAACAGGAACTGCAGAGGAGAAGCAGTCCATGGTGGCAGAAGACAGCAAAAGCAACAAGCAAAGGACCTTGACAGCGGCCTTCTGTCCCTTTTATCTTTTTTTTTTTTGTTGTTCCTCGAACGCCTTCAGGGCACTTTTGGCCAGTGGGAGAGTTTTGAGGTTCGAACTCCAGCAACCTGAGGCTGACAGCTTTGTGGAAGCTGCCACTTAAAGGCCTGAGCTAGGGCCAGGCCCCCTGTCCCTTTTATCTTTATCCAGGGTACTCAGCGTGGGCAGCACTCACACCTTTAATCCCAGTGCCCATGAACCAAGTACTGTACTAGGAATCAATCCAAGCCTCACATGCTCTAGATCCCGCTACATCTGAGAAAGCCCCACCTATGACTGCATGAGGCTTTTGGGGACATCTAGACCTAAGTCATGACACTAGACACTTAGTGCTGTGCCTGCTACATAACAGGCTTTGAAAAATATTTGTGAAATGGTTCAGATTCAGTGGTAAACCCCACATGAAGGGAAACCCCACTATAAAGGGACACCACTTTACCACAATAGCAACTCCAAAATATACTCAGAATTCTTCCATTTTTCTTTTTACTTTTTTTTTGGGGGGGTGGGGTGGTTGGTTGTGTTGTTGTAACCTAGGGATTGAACCAAGCAACACTGAACTGTATCCTCATCCATTCAATTAATTAATTAATTTGGTACAGGGTCTCACTAGGCAGCTCAGACTCGTAGTGATCCTCTTGTTTCAGCCTCCCCAGCACTGGGATTATAGGCATGTGCCACCATGCCCAGTTTCGGGGCTGGCTCAGTGCACCTGGGGATGGGGCTGGTGAGGCATGTGGTGCTGGAGATCAAACCTGGTCCTCATGCTAGCCAGGCAGGCGCTTAGGCTGCCAAGCTATCTTGCCGGCCCCCTTTATATATGTTTTTTTTTTTTTTTTAAATTATAAACAGGGTCTGACTAATTGCCTAGGCTGGACTATAACTTGACATTCTCCTGCCTCAGCCTTCTAAGTGCTGGGATTACAGATATGGCTTTTTCTTGTAGGAAAGTTTCCAGTTGGGTGGGTTAAGAAAACATAAATGGACCAAGATTTCTGAATCTACTATAATTAAATGTTACCTGGTCCTAATCTCATCAAGATAGGAGATCTGGAAAATCACAGTATAATTATCAAATGCAGGACACTCTGTGTTGCAGTAATTCTATTACCTAACAGTCCACAGTCAGTCTGGCTAAGCCACCCCAATGTTGTTTTTCACAGCCCTCTCCTCTCCCTAACTAGGATCCAGCCCCGGCTCCCATGCTGCAGATAGCAACCAGGTCTTCCTTGCTATTTTTGGTCTGGGACACTCGATAGCCTTTCACTGGCTTCCATGACACTGACACTTTGAAGAGTGGGCCAGCAATTGTGTAACATATCTTTACTCTGAAGTTGTTTGGAATTTCCTCCAGTGTTTTGCTTAATTTAAGACAGGTCACCTGTGCCAACTGCAGTCTAAGGAAGAACAGGGAAGTATTGGGACACAAACCTGAGGGCAATACAACTTCTAGGCAGTAGTGTGTCTTTGCAAATGAAAAAGCCTAAAGCAGCCAGCTGAGAACTTTCCTAAAACAGACAGTGCTACAGGTAAAATGCTAGCCAAAATCTGCAGGTAGGTATAAGGTTTAAATCAGGGGCTGGAAAACCAGGCCTGGCAGTGCATGCCTGTAATCCCAGCACTTGGGAGCCTGAGGCAATAGGATTATTGAGAGTTTGAGACCAACTTGGGCTACAAAATAAGCTCAACGCCAACATGAACTGAATAGTGAGACCCTGTCTCCAAAAGATAAATCAGATGCTGGAAATTAATTTTAGCCTTATAAACAAATGATCAGTGATTTCCAAAGAACTGGGAAAGGACCATTACGAAATAGGACTGTGCTGAAACAACTTGTTAATTTTTTTAGAAAAAAGATTTCACAGGCTCTATCAAAACCAAAGATGGGTAACAATAACTGCAGAAGGACAAAACATATACACTATATAAGTGTATTATATTGGCAAGTACTTATGCACCTATATGAATAATTTACTGGAATGTTATTTAGAAATTGCTAATAGTAATTTCCTCTGGGAAAAGAGAATTAGATGGGAAATTATATTTGTTTCTTTTCTTCTGTCTTTCTGAGATAGGATTTCACTGTCAGTTCAGGCTGGACTTGAACTCACTTTGTAGTCCAGATGGCCTTGAACTCAGCAAGCTTCCTTATTCAGCCTCCTACATGCTGGGATCACAGGCATGCGCCACCATGCCCAGTGGGAAATTATAATCTTAACTCTAATTTACTAAATTAGAATACTACCTGATTTTTTTCCCCTTCTGTCTGTATCACTTTTTTTTTTTTTTTTAATATTTATTTATTTACTTTGTGTGTGTGTGTGGCTAGTTCAGCCCACCAGGGGTTGGGGCTGGCTGGCATGTGGTGCTGGGGGATTGAACTGTGGTCCCTGTGCTTTGTTTATCTTAGCTTGTTCTAAGTAGGTGCTTTAGACCACTGAGCCATCTCACCAGCCCAAGGATTCAAATCCATCTTTTTTTTTTTTTTTGGTGGGGATTGAACTCAGGACCTTGCACTTGCCAGGCTGGCGCTTACGCTGATGAGCTATGTCCCCAGCCCCTTGTATTACTTCTGCAAATGTCAACTTTAACAGCTGAATAGGTCAGTCTTGGTTTCTTTTTTTTTTTTTAATTTTATTTATTTATTTTGTGTGTGTGGCCAGCTCAGCCCACCAGGGGGCAGGGCTGGCTGGCATGTGGTGCTGGGGGATTGAACCACGGTCCCTGTGCTTTGCTTGGCTTAGTTTGTTCTAAGTAGGTGCTTTAGACCACTGAGCCATCTCACCAGCCCAGTCTTGGTTTCTTCTACTCAGAAAATTATACCCAAACTATGCCACTTAGGATTTCCAATTCAGAGCGCCTGGGAGGAGGAACTGCAAGACTTCCTTGGAACTCTCCTCTGCCAAAAGACCCAGCTCCACCAGAGGAGCATGGGTGCCTTCAATATTCTGGCTACTGACCCAGGAAGATTACATTCAATCAGATCACAGAGGAGCAGATGAAAATCAAACACCACAGCCAGAGCCAAGAGGCCCAGGTCATTCTCTTCCCTAAAAGTCACTCACCCCTTTTCTAAACTTAGCAGAACCCCACTCCTCTCCCCTAGGAAGAGGGAATGTGAACCTGAGCCACCTGTCACTCCTTTGAGTTTTACATGTGCACATTTAATAAGTTCACAGATATGAACATAAACTGTGGTCTATCTATTGCCACTTTGCCTCATCAGTCTCATCTACCA